CACTTGGTTCTTTTATAGCCAAGTGTTTTCCTGAGTAGCAATGGGTTTAAGGTTAAACAGGTCTTATCCCATCTTCAAAGCAGAACCAACATCCCAGCATCATACAACAGCTTGTTCACACCTTTGTCTGCTATTTCCTTCTCTTTCTCTTGATGGCTCTCGTCACTTTGAGAGAGAGTTTTGTTGATGTTTCCTATGATTGGGAGGAATTCTTCCGGGATCTTCTTTGCCTGATTGAAGGGGGAAAGAAGAGAATAGTCTGGGGCAGTATAGAATTGCCAGCAATGAAAAGAAAGCTTTGCCAAAGCAAGACACTGAACGATCTCCCTGGAGGATGACACCACAGCTGTCAAAGGAGAGACAAAGTGACATCTCATGCTGAATGGGGGAAATTTTCCTTCCTGGAGTAGCAACCAACTCTGTTATTCTGAGTGACAAAGTGACATCTGATGCCAAATGGATGATATTTGGCTCCCTGGAGCTCTTCAAAATGACATTTTTGAATGCCAAAGCTCAGCCTTGGTGCCAGAGAGGTGTGCAGTGATGGGAATTTCACCCCAAATCTCCAAAACTGGTTTGGAACTCCATTTCTTCCATTCAAATGACTGTTACCAAGATCGTAAACAATACTCTATCTTGGAGGAAAATGTGGGAATGAGTTCTCCACAATTTCTATCTGGGAGAAATTTGGAGAATTAAAACGAATCAATTTTAACCCACTTGACATTTATATAACTTGTTGGAATTTAATCAATGTTCTAAGGTTTATCAATCACTCCATTCGTCCTTGTTGTTCTCAATTGGATTTTAATGGTTCTTGGTTTGCATATGCTTTACCATCTCAGAGTGATTATTTTTGTAGATACATTTTGACCAGTTTATCTATATGAGCAAATACCTTTCTTTGAGGTTTTTAAACGTGGAATGTTAGGAAACAGTTTATCAGAAGTATATGAGGGAGGATTAGAGGAGGTAGCAAATAACGAAAGCTGTGTCATGCTGTAACAATACAATACACCCTTTTGTATTCATGTTGTGGATAGACACAAGAAACACAGCTTGTGTTGCAACAGCATGATAGCATTTTGTCATTTGCCCAAAATGTATGTTTTTTCCCCTGTTTTGAATTATGCTTTCCTGCTAATCTGTAAGGATACATTCTTCTCCATAGCCAAGTTCCACAACACACAATGGTTGCAGTTCTCGACATAATCATTCTATTAGCAACTATTAAAAGTTACGACGGCACTGAAAAAGTAATTTTTGATCAGTCCCCGGCTCAAGGTTGACTCCCCCTTCCATCCACCCAAGGTGGCTAAAATGGGGGCCCAGATTGTTGAGGGCAAGATGCTGACTCTGTAAACTGTTTAGAGAGGGCTGTAAAGCACTGTGAAGCGGTATATAAGTCTTAAGTGCTCTTGCTGTTGCTATCACAGCATTCCTACACTCAAGGGATCAAAATAATCTAACCTGATATGTATTTATGACAGATGTGGCATCCTGGAGTCCTGTGATCTTCCCAGATGGCATCTAATAAGCAAAATCAAAGGGGACAACCACATTTGTTTAATGACTATAGGATTCCCTTAACTACAGTGATTTACTTAGCAATCGTGGCACAAAAATGTGTAAAATCAGACGTAAAATCATTTAAAAACTGCCTTGCTTAGCAATGGAAATCCTGGTCACAATTTTGCTTGTATGTCAAAGGTGACCTGTATATTAGGTAAAGATTTCCCTCGTCCAGTCACGTCTGATTCTAGGGTGCAGTACTCATCTCTATTTCTTAGTCAAGAGAGCCAGCATTTTCCAAAGACCCTTTTGTGATCAGGTGGCCAGCATGGCTATAGCTGAGGGGCATTGAATGCTGTTATTTTCCCATTGGAGTGGTACCTATTTATCTACTCGCATTTGCATGCTTTCAAACTGCTAGGTGGGCAGGAGCTGGGGCAAGGACAGGAGCTCACCCGTTGCGTGGCACTTGGGTCTCAAACCCAGGCAGGCAACTTTCCAGCTGACAAGCTCAGTGTCTTTAACCACTGAGCCACCACACCCACTTATACATATGTTACCTGCCTCATTTTCCCAACAGCTCTCTCAAACATTACAGATCCTGGCTCAACAGAATTACAAAACCCTTAGCGATTATTCATTCAGCAACCTTCATCATTTTGTACCATTATTCCTTTCTTGCGTGACTCGAATAATTGTTTCTTCCCTCTTTGGATGTCATTAAGAAATTCCTGGTGGTCATCAGCTCGGGAGTAGCTTCTTTTGTTGATGTTCTCCTCCGAGCCCTCA